AGTGCGTAGACGCCAGTAATCCTCCCACCAGTCTCCGGCGGCTCCCTCTATCTGCAGTTCAGCGCACGCCATATTGTGCGCCTCAGATATCCCCATGATACGGAAAATCCTCTCCATCTTACGGATCCACTCGGCCACGGCTAGCGGGCCATCTTCCCCAGTAAAACGGGGCGGATCATACGTACGGAAACGGCTGACTACAACAACATGGTCTGGCTCAGCTAGGGCTTATGGATCTCTACGCGGCGGCATTCTGGAGATCCAACAGTACTTAAATTTATTAGTATAGCCAATTAAACAATAGCCATACGTAGACTTGAAATGATAAAATCAAATAAATAATATCCGAAAACACCTAGCTTGGCTAGAGTTCCGGTATACTTAAACTTTCTATGTTCTGGTTCATAATGGAGTTCTGACTTAGTCTGGAGTCCTTGGACTTAGCTATTCTAGAGTTCTGTCTAGAGTTCTGTCTCTAGTGTTATCTGTCTTATAGGAGGATAGTCATCTAGGCCCCATACTTGAACCGAATTTAGCACTTGCAAAAACTTAAACTGAGTTAGGTGACTTACCTCGGAGTCGGTGCAGATGAGCGTGGCGTGGTCATGCTTTTCTAAACTTTGAAAGTATACAGAAACGCACTTTGCGCTCTGATACCACCTTCTGTCACACCCCGCCTTACTTGCTTTGAAAAATCAGAGTAAAATTTTTGTTTTTATTTTTGAAAGGTCGTGCGAGCTGGGTTTTCGAAAATACTGACTTATTGCGGGATGTGGCAGATAAAAACTTAAACTGAACTTGAGCTTGCTCACAGACATAATAAAACATGCAACCAAACTGTCCGCTCGCGGATTATGGAATTATACATGCATAGTCTGTACTATCTCGCACTGTCTAGAAAAACTCGCTGGCGGAAGCATCCGAAATACGAATACATAAACATGCATACATAACTGAATAATATACATGATCATAAAACTAGGACATAAAAATGCTGGTAAAATATGTCCGACTCTCATAACCACGCTGCGCCATATCTGTGCTCATCCGGCACGCTCGACTCTGTCTCCTGAAAAGCACAATGGGGGTGTGAGCAAACCACTATGCTCCGCAAAGACCATTACTGAACAAAACATCATCTATAATAACGTACCATGAATCATAAATATATAAGAGCTGAAACTGTAAACTGATCTCTGATTTCTGTTCTGGTCTGTGGTCAAAAGACCCTCGACCTTGGCCGCTCGTGTGCACACTCCGATGGGGTATAGAGGCCTTGGCCCCCAAACGGTCATCAGGTGGGTATAAAGGCCTCGGCCACCCAACCCGAAAACTAAATTGTCTCAAACATACCTCTGCCATGGTATAGATATTATCTATGATGTGACATCCAGTACATGACCCCCACCTGAAAACTTAAAATCTGGTATGCAAGTGCGGATGCTGGAGTAGCGGTCGGAGGCTCGACTCTCCTTAGGCTACATAAATATTTAAGCAAAATAATGCTAAGTATCATGCTCGAAATAATTAATTATATGCTAAAATGCTCGGACTTATTACGCGATTAAACTGGACTGGACTGGCTCGAAAAAATACTGAAATTTCCGGAACTAGACTCGGATCAGAAACCACGAATCAAAAACTAACTCGAACTGCCGGTTCGCTGACTGGCCGGACCGGGCGGTCAGGCGCTGGATCGGCTGGACCGGCCTCGGCCCCCTGCCGGGCCAGCTGGTGCCCGGGCACGGCGCTGGGCACGGCT